AGTATTGCCAGTAGTGCTGCTCAAACTTGGACCAAGGCCGGGCTTGAAGAAGTCTGCTCTGCGAGTGAGGTCGGCCTTTCGCTTGTTGAAACATCGCAAAGGCCAAATGCCAAATGCCAAACTGAGCACCCAGCGATGGCACGGTTTCAGAACCTTCAACGTGCACAAAATCTTATCCATACATTCCATATAGCAATATTGTCAAACAGCTGAGGCCATCGCCAGTGCCTGAGGTCTGTGCTGGTTGAGCCTGAACGGCCTGCAAACTTTCCAGAGCTTTGAGGATGGCGCCGTGTGTCCTTGCCTCGTCAGTCGGATAAACAGGAAGAGGGGAGGGCTCCTGGAATAGTGGACCTAGTGGAGGCCACAACAAGTGCCGTTTTTGCTGCGCCCGCATCAGGTCTATCGAGTCTATCGTGAGGCAGCCCTGCGAACAAAAAACCAACCAAAGGCCCACATCATGTTTAGGATTCGAAAAAGAATCCCTGCTGATATTGTTCGAAGGACACCAAATTGATCGACTTGGACAATGCCATGTGCTGTCCTCATCCTCGGGCAGTCCAACCTCATCTCTTGAGCTTTCATGCGCTCCGCTACATAACTGGGCGCGCCTGGTCGAAGGACGGGAAGGATGCTGAGCAGTGCCTGCGACGCTCGCATTGCACAGCATGCATGCCTTCTTGTCAGTTCACCCTGATGCTCAAGGAAGCTTCAAGTCAAGACATGATTACAGGCGGATAAAAATAGACAAACAAGTCTACAAATGCGATGACTGTGAAACAGAACTGCGCAAGTGAGCGAGCAACCTGATTGCAAGAGTCTAGTAGGCTTAGTAGGCAAACATAACAAACCTGCAAGGAGCGGAATGTGAGAATATCTTACGGCGCATGCACCCTTCCAAGCATATTCCCGAGCTCAGCACGGAGGGACTCCAAAAAGAAGCGTCAAATGCTTCATCATCGCCTGCAGGCACAAGGCAGGAGAGGTGGCGTGGGTATCTCATGCACCTCAAGGTTGGCCCGCAGCACCACAGTCTCACGCTCAAGGCTACGGTAGGACCTGGAACTGACAAACTTCAACTGGAGAAAGGCTCATGGCCTGCAGGCAAGCAGCTCTGTGCATGCCGCCAGTTGACCTGGTTGCTTGCCAGGCGAACCAGCGGCCTTTGCATCTACTGAGAACTCGAAATCTAAGAGTGAAACTCCGCAGCTGCTCCGTGGAAGCTGCATGCTGTTGCTGCATGCTCCTGGGGCGTGCTAACAACCAATCTGCTCCAATCAACTGACTTACATGTAGCACGTACATCTCACTCATCGGGTCAAAGGCACGTGATGGCTTTCTGCCCCCTTTTCCAAAGCGCCTCAACCTGAGCAATGTGGACTTCAACTGCATCGCGGGCAGCTTAGGTTCCGGGCTGCTTCCTCGGTCTTGAGGCTCACTTGCTGTTGGCATGCTTCTGTGACCTGGTCCAACTTTTCCACCAATCGCACTCCCAAGGTTCCCGTGCAGTTTGCCGAGTTCGTCGCCTGCCGGATGAGTTCAGCCTTGAGATCCTGCCATGCGATTTCAGTGCCGGTCACAAGGTAAAGGCAGACCCCACCTCGGCCAGCACAGCGCCGGTGCCGCCAGCGCCTCCGGCGTTGGCAGCACCTGCCAAGACATTCAGATTGTGTGTGTGTGTGTGTGTTGTGTGTTGTGTGTTGTGTGCTGTGTGCTGTGTGTTGTGTGTGGTATGTGGTGTGTGGTGTGTGGTGTGGTGTGTGGTGTGTGGTGTGTGGTGTGTGGTGTGTGGTGTGCGGTGTGCGGTGTGCGGTGTGCGGTGTGCGGTGTGTGGTGTGTGGTGTGGGGTGTGGAGTGTGGGGTGTGGTGTGTGTGTGTGGTGTGTGTGTGTGTGGTGTGTGTGTGTGGTGTGTGTGGTGTGTGTGGTGTGTGGTGTGTGTGGTGTGTGTGTGTGGTGTGTGTGGTGTGTTGCGCGGGGTGCGCGGGGTGCGCGGGGTGTGTGTGTGGCGTGTGTGGCGTGTGTGGCGTGCGTCGCGTGGGTGGCGTGTGTGGCGTGTGTGGCGTGTGTGGCGTGTGTGGCGTGTGTGTGTGTGTGTTGTGTGTGGCGTGTGTGTGGCGTGTGTTGTGTGTGTGTGTGGTGTGTGTGTGGTGTGTGTGTGGTGTGTGTGGTGTGTGTGGTGTGTGTGGTGTGTGTGGTGTGTGTGGTGTGTGTGGTGTGTGTGTGTGGTGTGTGTGTGTGCTGTGTGGGCTGTGTGTGGTGTGTGTGGTGTGTGTTGTGTGTGTGGTGTGTGTGGTGTGTGTGTGTGGTGTGTGTGGTGTGTGTGTGTGTGTGGTGTGTGTGTGTGTGTGGTGCGTGTGGTGTGTGTGTGTGATGTGTGTGGTGTGTGGTGTGTGTGTGTGGTGTGTGTGGTGTGTGTGGTGTGTGTGTGTGCTGTGTGGTGTGTGTGTGTGGTGTGTGTGGTGTGTTGTGTGTGTGGTGTGTGTGGTGTGTGTGGTGTGT